TTCCATCTGAGATATATAGCAGGCAAGCATTGCTTCTCTCCTTGATGTGGATCTGGTTTGAACTCCACTTCTGATTTGACCAATCACTTGGTTAGGAGGATGATCTCTTAACCATGTTAGGTCTGGTTCTGTCAGCTGTTGTCTTGGTCTCTCTGGTTCCTCATCTTCAGAGTCTTCATCTTCATTCAACAGAAGGGGGTTTGGTGCAGGTGTTGGAAATGCAGGGTTGTCTGCCACCTCTTCTGTTGGTTCCGGTGTTCTTTCTTCTATGCTGACTTCCTTGAGAATCTCTGTTACCTCTTTAACAGAGATACTTTCATCAAACTTCACATGTATGGATTCTTCAACATGTAGGGTCCTTCTGTTGAGTACTCTATAGGCTTTACTGGTGTTTGAATAGCCTATAAAGACTCCTTCATCAGCCTTTTCTTGAAATACTTTCAGATGCTCCTTTCCATTGTTAAGAATGTAGCACTTGCATCCAAATACATGAAAGTAGTTGATGTTTGGCTTTCTTCCCTTCCAGAGTTCATAAGGGGTCTTCTGGTGATTCTTGTTGATCATGCTTCTGTTCTGAGTAGAGCATGCAGTGTTGATTGCTTCAGCCCAATATCTCATAGGCAATCCAGATTCTGCAATCATTGTTCTTGCAGCTTCTTTTAAAGTTCTGTTCCTTCTTTCTGCTACGCCATTCTGTTGAGGGGTTCTGGCGGCAGAAAGTTGATGAAAAGTTCCATTCTGATCACAGAAGTCCTTTATGACTTGGTTGACAAATTCAGTTCCTCTGTCTGATCTGATTGTCTTCACTTTCAAGTTCTTCTCAGTCTGAAGTTGCTTTAACAGAGATGGCAACTTCTGAAGAGTTTCATTTTTCTTTGATAGAAAAACAGTCCATGTATATCTGGAGTAGTCATCAACCATGACTAAGGTATATTTCTTGCCACCAACGCTTGGAGTCTCCACAGGTCCAAATAAATCCATGTGAATCAGATTTAGAGGACTTGTAGAAAGATCTCCAGCAATGGGTTTGAAGGAATTCTTCACTTGTTTGCCTTTCTGACATGCACTGCAGAGGGTCTCCTTCTTGTACACAATGTCTGGTAGCCCTTCTACAATGTGTTCTCTGGCCAGTTTGTTGATTGTTTTGAAATTCAAATGGTTGAGCTTTTTGTGCCAGTCCCAGCTCAGTTTTGAATCTCCCTTGGCTATCAGGCAAACTCCATCTTTTGCAGTGTTCCAATCAACTACATAGATGTTCTTCTTCCTTGATGCTGTAAGAACTACTTCCTTTGTTGTCTCATGCTTCACATAGCAGAAGTCCTTTGTGAATTCAACAGTGTAGCCTTTGTCACAGAATTGGCTAGCACTTAGCAAGTTGAACTTCAGTCCTTTGACATATGAGACATCATCAATGATTATCTGGTTCTTGATCAGCTTTCCTCTTCCTTTTGTTTGACCTTCTTTGTCATTACCTCCAAAGGTAACTCTAGGTCCTTTGCATTTCTGGAACTCTGTTAGGCAACTTCTGTCTTCTGTCATGTGCCTGGAGCATCCACTATCAATAAACCATTCTTGTTCAGAGATGGCTCCAGCACACAGTTCCTGCAAGATCAAAAGAAAGATTTAGGTACCCAAGCAATGCTGGGTCCTGGGGGGTCATGGAGTCTAGGTAGTTGGTACCATTTTGGTCTCATCAAGTGAAACCTTGGTGGGTGGTACCCATTGTCCACCTGGTAGTTATAGTAAACTGAAGTGTGATTCACTTTGGGCAGATGCTTGTGAGGGTCATGCTTCCTGTTTACATACTTTTGCATAGCTTTCTTTGTTGGAAAGAAGTCCCATATACTATCAAGAGCAGAGGGACGGTTAACCTTGGGCTTCTGAAGTTGAACAGCCATCCTCTTCTGCCTGAAGTTAACTTTCTCTTGATATTTGCCCTTCTGGTGATCATTTCTGGCATGATTGACATGAGGTTGTCTGTCAATGAATGGTCTTTTATTTTTGTTATTTTGAAAACCTCTTCTGTTGTTAGGTTTTCTGCCAGGTTCATTATTTTTCAAAAAGGGTTTCTGTTGAACCTTTATCTTACCCTTTTCTGGTCTGACTTCCTCATGAACAACCTTGGTGCCAGATACACCAGCTTGACAGATGGGGCTAGAAATCAGTGGCTCTATGACCTTATCTGCCTTAGCAACTCTGGTGCTAGGCATTACAGAAGGCTCACCTGATTCTGTTGAGCCATAACCAAGACCAAAACCAGTGCCAATCTGTTGATCAAGCACAATCTTTTCCATGGAAGACTGGGCCTTCTGGTAAGCTTTGTACTTAATCTCGAGAGGCTCTATTTCTCTTATTCTCTTAAGAAGAGAAACATTTTCAGTCTCCAGTTGATCTCTTTCCTCAATTAGAAGATTGATTTTGATCTCAACCTCCTTCTTTAAGTCAAGAATTTCAGCTTTCAACTTACTGTTTTCTTCTGTTACAGAAGAATAAGTGGCTTGTATGGCCTTAAACTCTTCCCAAAATTCTGACATTGAATCAGAATCAAAAGCTAAGCCTACCGAAGAAAAACTAGATTCAGAAGTAGAGGTTACCTCATCATCAGAATGAGCCATCAGGCAAAGGTCTTCTGTCTCAGTATCCAGGCAACATAAGGCCTCATCAGAATCTGAGTCAGAACTGGATTCTGTTTCTGACAAAGGGTCTTTTTCCAGCTGTTCTGTCACAAGTGTCTTTCTTCTTCTGGAGTTGTCCTCGTACTTCTTCTTTTCTCCATCCTGTCCTTGCTTCTTGGACACTCTAGGATGGGGACAATCAGCCTTGAAGTGACCAGGTTGTCTGCAGTTGTAACAGAGAAGCTCTCCACTGCTTTCTGTTGATTTGACCTTCTGGTATGGCTTTCTGTTGAAAGATGGACTCCTTCCATCTTTGGGATTCTTCATAAACTTTTTGAATCTCCTGGCAAAGGCAGCCATATATTCATCAGATAAAAGTACTGAAGGGTCAAAATCATTTACCTTAGATGTGCTGGCAGTGAGGGCTGTAGTGGTCCTCTCTTCTGGTACATCTTCCTTCTCTTCAATCATTTCAAACTCATGAGCTTTGAGATTTGAAATGAGCTTATCAGTGGGATAAGTCTTTACATCCTTGCTGGCTTGGACAGCAACTACCTTCATCTTCCATGCTGAGGGCAGTCCCCTCAACACCTTCAGGTTGATCTCCTTGGTTGTGAGATCCTTGCCAAGCTCAGAGATCTCTCCAGTGAGAGTGAGGAGCCTGTCATACATCTTGGAGATGCTTTCACCAGGGAGAAGTTTGAAGTCATCAAGCTTCTTGTTGGCTATGGTGAGTTTGTTGTCCTTCTCTTGCTCATCACCAGCTCCAATGAGCTCAAGAGTATCCCAGATTTCCTTAGCAGTCTTGCACTTCTTGATTCTGTTGAAGTACCTATCATCAATGGACTTGTAGAGGATGTCCTTGGCAATATTGTCTAGGTTGTACTTTCTCCTCTCTTCAGTGGTCCATTCTGACTTGGCTTTGCTGATCATCTGGGGTCTGGTGTTGTCTATGGCATGTTCAGGATTGACCTTCTGGAAGCTTGTGAAGGGGCCAATATCTAGAACTTCTCACATCTCATCATGCAGGGCACAGAGATGTGCTTTCATCCGGATCCTCCAGTCATCAAACTTAAGATCTGAAAACATAAGATTCTTGGACAAGGAGTGATCCATTATATCAGATAGAAATGAGGTACAACAGAAAAACAAGTGGATCTTTGTTCAACAAATAACCTAAGAGATTATTAGAACAAGGAGGCTCTGATACCACTTGTTGGTCCCGGTTATACTGGATACAGTCTAGAGGGGGGGGTGAATAGACTGTATTGGTTTTTCGCTTTTTAAACTAAGTACCAGATTTACAGAATAGCCTGTTCTGTTGAAAGAACAGACTGGCAGCGGATGGAGTTCTGGCAGGGAGTTCTGTTAGCCTCAGAGAAGCAAAGGCAGTAGGCCTTCTGTTAACTCGTAGAACAAGTTCTGCTGAACACAGATACCAAGTCCAAGGAGTTATACAGTTCTATCTAAGTGCAAGTATTAAAAGCAGTAAGTAAACGACACCAGGGATTTTTATAGTGGTTCAAGGAACAACTCGTTCCTCTAATCCACTGTTCCACTAAGCTGTAAAAACTGCCGTTTACAAAGCCTTAGTCCTAGTACTTAAGAAGCACTCCACGTCTTCTTCAAGCCTAGATGTGTCCTGGGATGCACTGCCTGGCTTCCTTTAACACTGGTCCTTTCACTGAGTTTCCTTGAAGTATCACCACTTCACTACTCGAGTTATTTGGACGTCCTTCTTGTAGCAAGAAGAGTTTCTGTTGAAACTGGGGTTCCTCCAACTAGCTTCGTTACAAAATATTTGTATGTGATGAGCTTGAAGAGTTGAAGAACACTTGGAACTTTGCTTGAGTTGGAAAGAGAATTTTTCCAACTTCTGCCTTCTCTTGTAGAAGATAATGAGTTTGAATCTCAAGGAGGCTTTTTGCTTTTCAGAGTTTGAATATCTTGTATGAAGAGTTGTAGCAAAGGTTAGCAAAAGTTGCAAAGTTATCCGGTTGTTCTTCGTAGTGTATCTTTTATACTGAGGTTGTCTTCCCGTTGGAGGAGTAGGAGGACAACTGCATTAAATGAGCGATCAGTTGACTTGACTAGTAGAGCCCGATAAAGTTGGCGGGTTACTATTTTGGGATAAAGTATTCCTGACATTCCGGCCAATCATCTGCAATTACTCTACGTAGCATGGGGTGCATTAAATGAGCATTTAATGCATGCACTGTAGCTTTTCCGTTTCATACTCCTAGCCGTTGAAGGAATCTTTTAGTTGACTTCCCGGTTCTTAGAAAATCTTCTAAGTGTCAGACCTTCTGGTGTCTTTGTAACACCCCGGCCCCGTAGGCCCCGAGGTAGTTACTCCAGACCTCTAGTACTGTCCCCACAAACCACCACGAGCCTTTACCGCGCACTTTGTCCTCACTCATGCGCGCCCTGAGAAACTTCCCAGGGGGTCACCCATCCCAAGACTACTCCCGTGCAAGCACGCTTAACTTTGGAGTTCTTGGGTGATGAGCTCCCTTAAAAGGAGATGCACCTCTGTTGGTATGAGTAGTACTATTAATCCTCTTAAATTAATCTCGGGTATTACAATCACCCCCACTTAGGATCGCAACGTCCTCGTTGCGCCCTTAAACCAATCTCAATCAAACCCCAGAATCTTGCCCCGCTAAGTGCCCGCCCGATATCCAACGGGTCAACACACTGTCGCAGGGTTGCTCTGATACCATTTGTAACACCCCGGCCCCGTAGGCCCCGAGGTAGTTACTCCAGACCTCTAGTACTGTCCCCACAAACCACCACGAGCCTTTACCGCGCACTTTGTCCTCACTCATGCGCGCCCTGAGAAACTTCCCAGGGGGTCACCCATCCCAAGACTACTCCCGTGCAAGCACGCTTAACTTTGGAGTTCTTGGGTGATGAGCTCCCTTAAAAGGAGATGCACCTCTGTTGGTATGAGTAGTACTATTAATCCTCTTAAATTAATCTCGGGTATTACAGTCTTTGTCTGGGAGTAGAACAGAGGTGGTCTGAAGCACTTCTGTTGGGAGTATCCAACAGAGACCCAGAAGGGTTTCTGTCAGAGTCAAGACTAACAGAGATCCTGAGGACTTCTGTTCTGGAGCAGAGAATCAAAGGTCCTCTGTTTCAATAATGCCTTAAGAGGCACTTCTGCTCTTGAAGTCCTTCTGCTCTGAAGGCATTCTGTTCTTGAAGGTCTTCTGTCAAGTCGAATACTTCTAAGAACTTTACAAAGGAAAATTCTAATACATAATTTCTAAAGGGGTACTTCTAAAGTCCTAATTAATCTAGCATCATCAAAATCTAATTACAATTATTCCTTACAGTTGTGAAGTGCTGATTCTCCTTATCTTCTTTGTTCTTCCTCCAGTGCTTTGGGAAACCGAATCATGGGTCATGGGAGTTGTTAATTCACTGTCATTATTGGTTGTCTGAAGTGGCTCATGGGAGGTTGGTTCAGAAATATCAGGCCCTCTAAATATCTTCTTGTAATTCTCATACATGTGCTTCACACAATATCTGTGCTCATTTGCAAGTGAGACAACTTTAAATGCTTCAACTAGTCCCTGAAACAAGGTAACAATTAAAAACAGTTTATGTAAACAACAAATTTTTAAGCATGATATAAGTACACATTTTTAACACACCTTCTGCTTGTCTGACATGAATACCCAATTAGTTTCTTCTGGTCTTCCAAAATCTTCAAACAACACTTGCAAGAACCAAGTCCATGAAGCTTTGTCTTCACTATCCACATAAGCTATAGCAAGAGGAAACATGTTTTCATTTCCATCCCTTGCTACAGCACAAAGCAGTTGGCCTCCCATTGGTGTTTTCAAGTGGCACCCATCTAACCCAATTAAGGGTCTAAGACCTGCAAAGTAACCCTGCTTCTGAGAACTAAACCTCATGTACATGTATTGAAGCATTAGAATTTCCTTGGGTATTCTTGGTACACCCTCTGCAGCACCACCTTCTTCATTGACATCCCTAGCTTCAGTTTTGATTATTACAAGACTCCCAGGGTTGTATTTAACAACAGTTTCTGCATAATCCCTCAACCTCCTATATTGTTCTTTGATATCTCCTTGGATCTTTTTCTTTGCTTTTCTTCTAGCTCTGTAACACTTTGCAAGACTCACCTCTGCCCTTAACTGTCTTTGAACTGACTTTTGCATAGCAGTGACATCCCACTTAGGATTTTCCCTCAACTCATCCATGTACTTTTTTGCCAAATAGCTACTAGTCACCAAGGTGTTTCTGTTACTAAAAGGGCATTCATGTTTGGGCCTGAATGTTTTTATTTGGAAGGACCCACATTCTGGAACTTTTGATGCATGAACCCTGAATGAACAAATGTCCTTGTTTTTGCAAATCACAGTGATTTTAGATCTATTGTTCTTCACAAATTTGAATTCAAATCCACCCTTGACTGCCCATTCCTTAAGAGCATTTCTAAAAGAGGTATGTGAGGTAAATTTCAAACCTTTGGATAATTCTGGATTTGAAGCTCCTGTTTCTTCATTGAACTCTTCATACTTTTCATCACCATCTTCAGATCCTACAATGCTATGCAAGTCATCACTATAGCATGGACTTTCATTAAACTCCTTAAGCTGCTCTTCATTCAGATCTTCTGGAAAAAAGGGGTTTGGTTCTGAAGGTTGGTCTGGACCTGGGGGTGGTTTTTGGCTTAAACTTGCAGCTCCATGATTAAATACATCATCTTCACTCCCTTCTAGGTCATCATATAGTCAGGAAGCTTCACTCCCTTCTAGGTCATCATATAGCCAGGAAGCTTCACTGATATTGGAATTGGAATGGTCATGTGAAGCACTTTCAGATCCACTTTGATTCACATAGTCTTCATCATCCTCATCACTCTGTAATTCAGTTTCAAGAAATGTAGTGGATTCACCCACAAATTGGTCTGCTTGTCGAGCTTGATCTTTATTTTGTAATTGAGTTGGGACTGAAGTGTGGGCTTCCTGTGAAGATTGAGTTGTTTCTTTTGCTAAAGTACCAACCACCCGTTTTTTACTTGTGTTTGCAACAAAATACAACTCAATGTGTGGGTCCATTATGTTACACACCAACATGTCTTGAACATCTTTATCACACACTATCTCTTGCAAGTTGACTGGTCCACACAACTCCCTAATTGAGAATCTTCTAAACCACATTTTTACCCCATTTGTATAACCCAAATCTGCTGCATATCCCTCCAATTCGAACTTGCTCACATAGTCAATGTCAACTTTATCTTTTTTCAAAACATGGCCTCCCACATACTTTTTCTTTTCTTTTGGACTGTCCCACTTTCCACCATGGTGAATTAACAAATTCACGTACTCACTCATACCAAACCTGCACATACATTCAATGCGGACAAACTACACTTCAATACCAAAAAAGAATGAAAATTTAAACTGCAACACAAACTTCAATACCCATTAACACTTCCAACGAACCCATTTGCACATTAATTTACCTACCAACCAGGTTTTCCAACAAGCGTCACACCCTAACCAAAATATGTAAACCAAAGAAACAATTATTGGAGTACTTACTTTCACGTGAAGACTCTAAGGACAAAAAACTACAATTCCATCTGCCAGTGCTTGCGTTATTGTCCTTTGTCTGCTTCGACCAACAATCTTTGTTCTTTCCCAACCGGAGGTGTAGAATCGAATGGGAGGAAGAATTGTGATTTCTTCAGGCCTAATTTCACCTAATTGTAATTGGGTTTTCTTCAGCCCTAATTTCACCTAATCTTTGTAATTGGGATTAAAAGCCACGTAAGCAAAAAAAAAAGTGCCACGTAGCGTATTACTAACGGCCCAGTCGCTTAGACCCCGCGGGTGGTAACGGTAGGAAAGCACAAGCTTGGGTTTGTTGCAAAGTTCATCACAGACCCCTGATTGCAAACGGCCACAACCACGGGTATGTAAAGTGTACTTTTCCCTATTATTATTATAATTATAAAAATGGAGATGCACTAAACAAGTCCTTACTCTGGCAACCACTGGGGAGGTACGGATTCCCGTGAAAACCGTCTTTGCATCTACAATGGTACCCCAAATCGAATGTCGTCTCAACGCACTCTGTACTAGATTTCTCACAAACATACCCTTCTCCAGCAACAGCACTTTCACAAGTCTGGTTCCCATGCCCGACATCCCAGTCTACGGCCATGGGTGCCCATCCAAAGCGCAGATGTGTAAGATCCTCCGGGATGAAATGATACCACCCTTTTCTGGCCACAAAAACATAGGTGCAGTTCTTGAATTCCCCCACTTTTTTCCCGAAACCCAGACTTTTGACACCAAGTTTGAACTCCCTCAACCCGAACACCGGAATAGTAGCCTGGCAGCAGCCCCGCCCTGCGCAGTTCCCGCTTTCCTTCTTCTCCGGAGCTCTGTCGCACTTCGGTCGGCACCTGGTTAAGAATATACCGTGGTCAGTCAAGCCTAAGAAAGATGCAGACGCGTCGCAGCCGACGGCGAAGAACTTGTTTTCTTCAGGGGAAATGGTGAACATATTCGGCACTCTATAATTTTCAAAGATTTCCTCTGAGCCGGATTCGTTGTAACAGATTCTGGATACGGGCATCAGGACTTGCATCTGCCCATTCACATAATCAATGGCTGTGATTTGGACTCCGGAAGTCCAATTAGTCCATAACCTTGAGTCACTGTCGCATGTGAGATTAAAAGCTCCTTTTTTACAGGAACACTTTTCTCCGATGCCGAATGGGTAGGGCACCGTCACATTCCCGCACGTCTCCGGGCACCCGGGCAGAGCTACTCTATATCCGGTCTCCGCCCAGCTCGCCACCGCGACAAATCCAATCGCCACCATCATTGCGGCGGCCAGCTTCACTACTGCCCTCATCGTGCTCCTCATTTTTTATTTTGTGAGCAAATGTTATTGAGAGAATGACGAATTCACGGGAATCATACGAAAACTCCTTTTCATGGACAAACATCATCTATCATTGTTTACTAATTCAATCTGTTCTGGTGCACTCTATTTGTTTGATAAAATGTTGTAATGAAAGATTTTGATACCTTGAAGTTAAAATGTTTGGATATACTTACCAAAATCATTTTAACCTTTTTGACCTATTTTCAAAGTGGCAATTCTTGCTATATGGAGGACTAAAATTTGACAGAATTTTAAATTCTGCTTGAATTGTAAATTTTGTAATTGTTTGCATTGTACTCTGTAATACTTTATGTTTCAATTCTTAAAATGTGTTTGTTAAGATGAAAATGAAGTCTTGCTTTGAATAATTGTTACTTGTAAGTTCTGAGAGATTTCCTAAGAATTGGTTTTGGATATCTGTTGAAATTCAAATAACTTGTGACCTATGGGAAATGGTTTTATAACTAGTTACTTCAGGGAAATGGTTTTGAATGATTTGAAGACGCGTGTGATGAATCAAATGATGGCGGAAAGAATATAATTGATGTTATGCAAGAATAAGAAGAGAAAAGGAATTTGTGTTTAGAGATTATTAAATTTTTCCAAAGATGTAATTTTCTGCTATAAAATTGAAAATGATTGAACATTGTTTATTTAAGTTGTGTTATTTAATCCATATTGTAAGTTGGTTGAAATTTTATACGTATTCCAATGATTTGTTATAGCTAATTTGCAACAATTAGACTTGTATAAAATGGCAGAAATCATTGAAGTGTATGTAGAACATGTAGTAAAATAGTAAAGAAAAGCCATATTTGCAGACACAAACATCTATTGTTGAAATAGTTAAAAGAATAGGTTCCTTTAATTTGTTCTCACCACAGACAAAAGATGTCCGAATATACCGTACTACCTCCGTTCTTAAATAAATGCAACACTTTGACTTTTACACTATTCACATGTTCTACTTTGACTACGTTTTATGAAAAAAATATTGTTAAACTTGCCTCATTGTAAATTTTCATAATCTAATTTTTTTAATTTTTTTATTAATACAAAATCAAATATTATAATTTAGACGCAATTAAAATATTATAACTTCATGTAGGATCAAACTTTTTTCATTTTGTCTTACATTATCATTGTAAAAGTGGATTTTCAAGCTGATGTATTTTTTATTTATGCCTTAACATTCCAAACAAATATCATTTTTCAGAAGGATTTTGAAAATATATCTAAAAATCAAATACGAAGTATTAACTTTCTAGTGACAAACGCCAAGTGACTTTCCTTGGTGGTTACCGCCTGTGGTTATTACCATCGTCGATCACTGACTATTGACTGCTATAGTAACAACTCCGAGTGGGTGTGTCTCCTTAAAATTTCTTCCATTCACACACTAGTTACCCCCAGTTAAGTTATTGATTGAACTTTATTTAACTTGTCCGGTCATTTAGTCATTCGATCGTACCATTATGATGGAGTAATATTTTACGGAGTAATAAACTAAAAAGCAAATTGAGGAGGGCGCACTTGCCCTTGTCGCCCACACCATTCTCCTTTCTCCATTCACACTACGTACCCCGGTCTAGTAAAGCTAGGTTCGAGATCTTGTGTCGTACTCTGCAGAGCGGTTTCTCAGAAGAAGACACTACTTGTATGGTCGGGTGTGAAATAGGCAATTTTTTTAAATAAAAACAAGTTATTCAATTTCACTTTCAAATGATTTATATTTATGGATAACAGGTCTCTACTTTTCAACCCATTAAAATAATTTTAAACAATAATTTTCAATTTCTTGAAAGAAAAACTTAATACTTCATACTCCGTATGAATTAGGACTGAATCATCCTGGCACTATTACTGGTTTAGGATTAGAATTCAAGTTGTTTTTGTACTACAAACGGTCAAAATTTTGATTTAGAACTAGGATAGTGTCCAACATTACACGTCGTGTCACGGAGTTACAGTGTCTAAAATCTCTTCATCAACTTGAGATTAAGGTGTTGCTCTGTTCGTCTTATTTTTTATTACTTGTTGCTTATTCTTATTTTATTCAGATCAGATCAGATCAGATCAGAAAAATTCAGATCAGATCAGAAACATTCAAATCAGATCAGAAACATTCATATCAGAAACATTCATTGCAAATTGGAAACATTCTATTGTTATCGATTATATTATTATTATTGAAATAAATTGGGTAACAGATGACTCAGAATTGCCAGTAATAATAATATCATCCACATATAGTAATAAATAAATAATAGTATTATTCTGGCGGTAAATGAACAAAGAATTGTCAGATTTGTTACAGGAAAAATTATGTTGTAGAAGAAAGCTACTAAATCTATGAAACCAGGCCCGTGGAGCTTGCTTAAGGCCATAAATGGCCTTGCGCAGACGACATATATGATTAGGAAATTGAGGGTGAATAAAACCACGGGGCTGCCGTATATAGACTTCTTCTGTCAGATTACCATGTAAGAAGGCATTTTTAACATCAAGTTGTCGTATACCCCACCCAAAAGAGATAGCTAGAGTAAGTACAATACGAACAGTGGTGGGTTTTACGACAAGACTAAAAGTTTCAGAGAAATCAATACCTGCCTGCTGATTAAAACCCTGTGCAACTAATCGAGCTTTATGGCGCTCTAAAGATCCATCAGAATGATATTTACTTTTATAAATCCACTTACGTCCAACAATATTCTTAGAGCTATGAAAGGGCACCAAGTCTCACGTATTATTATTAATGAGTGCTGTTGGGATATTGACCTAGAGGCCCAATACCCAGATCGGGAAGGCCCAAGATATCCGGCCCAAGCAACGGGCCCATCACTCTATGATGAATAGATCCAGTAAGAAGACATACCGAACGGAGTTCGGCCCAAACAAAGGTTGGCCCAGTAAGAAGACATACCGAACGGAGTTCGGACTATATATCATACTTGGGCCAATTTGACAACATCTTCATTACAGCCCAACATCCCGTTCGAGCAACGGCCAACCAGCAAGTGGCCAGGTGCAATTAATGTCAGACTGTGACATCAGCAAGTGGAAGCATGGATGACCACGTCGGTGGAACAACGGCCAATCAGCATGGGGCAGCCCATGCTCTCCATTAGTATAAATAGAAGGTTTCAAGTCATTGTAAGGGGTTATCATTTCAATACTCAGGCTCTAGAATAACATCATTGCTCTTATTTCTTGTATTAAAGCATAGTTTCCGACCTACCGATCGGGAAATTCCTTGTAATCAGATTGGTTAAGTAATAAAAGTGAGCTTTCGAGTGTTAGTTAGTTCAGATCTTATATTTTTTACACGCCTTGATTCTGTGCCATTCCTGATATATCCAAAGTTCGTGTTGGGCTTTCGGATCTACGGGACTTACCTTCAACATTGGCGCCGTCTGTGGGAAACTTGCAAAAAGTTTCACATTCAAATCATCCAAAAATCTCTATTTTCAAAAATGGTCATAATCAGTTCCTATCATGCAAGCGACGGTTCACGCCGTCACGGGAGGAATCACACCCCGGGGAGTCAAAACCCTCAAGGACAATCCAGTCGAGGATCGTATCCTCGTTTCGATGGGGATTTTGTGATTCCTGAATCTCTGAGAAGAAATCCTCAGGCCATGCGTGACATGGCCCAGGTCATGCAGCATATGGCGAACGAAGAGGAAGGAGGTTCCAGCTTCACAGGGGAGACTCCACGCACGGAAACAACCACGGCGTCATCCCGTTCACATGTCCATCGGGATAATCGACGTAGCGCCCCACTAACAGCGCACCACAGTCCCAGTGACCGAACCCGGTCGGATCACAAGCTAGAGGACCAACTCCCGTTGGTCATCATTTCCAGTATGCCGAGCGGGAAAATACTAGGACCCCTCAGCGGCATTGGGACCGGAACTGTACGGATATGAGGGCTCCACCACTGCCCCCCTTTGACGGCCCAGGAGGAAGAAATGGCCGAGATGAGGAGGCAAATGAATGAAATGCGAGACCAGATGAACAGGGCGCCTGTACAACCTGCCCCGGTTCAGCTGGGAATTACTTCCCCGTTTACTAGGGAACTCATGTACGTAGATATCCAAGGGGGTGCCAAACCCCCGACCGGCCAGATCTATGACGGGGTGGGAGATCCCCACGTACATCTGAGGAGTTACCAAGGGGGACTCATGCTGCTAGGAGCACCCGAGGCCGCCATTTGCAGTTTGTTTTTCAGCACGCTCAGGGGGGCTGCCCAGGAGTGGTTCGGGACACTGCAGCCCGGGTCAATCAACAGCTTTGCCGAGTTATCAGCGTTATTCTTGGCTCAGTTTGCTTCCAGTGCCAATCCCAAACGGCACTTCAGCTATTTGACCAGCGTGAAGCAAAACGCCAAAGAGACCCTCAATCAGTTCCTGAAAAGGTGGAGGGATTAAACTTTAACGGTGGGAAACATGACGGATGATACCGCCATTACCCTATTCACAAATGCTCTCCGAACGGGGGAGTTGTACAAAGAGTTGAAGAAAATTCCGGGTACGGTGTACGCCGAGGTATTAGATAGGGCTCGCAAGCATGCCGCCCTAGAAGAGGAGATAATGATCAGGGATAAGGTCATTGCGCCTACTGTCCCGATCAGAATGGCCGATCGGCTGGGTCCTAGCCCAGCGGCCGCTTTACCTCCCAAACAAGGGAGATTTACACCCCTGGTCCTATCAGTAGCGACCATCTATCAGCACGAGAGGGACAATATTCCCCTCCCAACTGATTCTGGACAGTTCATGGGAGCGGATGATAATGCTTTCTGTAAATATCACAACATAAAGGGTCATGCCACCAATGCCTGCACGGCCCTACAAACAGCCATTGAGGATCTGATCCGAAGGGGCCATCTGGGCAAATATGTGAATAAAGATCCGAATGCTATGGGCACGTTGAAACCGCCCAGGAAACCTAATAGCTGGCGCCGGGATGCTCAACGTGACGCCCAGCCTCAAAATGATGTGTATGCTCCTCCCAGGGATGAACCAGAGGGCTCGGGAGGCCCTGGAAAGAAGCCTCGAATGGAGGTCAAGGTTATATTTGGGGGCGGGGAGACAGGAGATTCGAACGCCGAACGGAAAAGGTTCGAGCGAAGTCTTTATGTGGGATCCGTCTCCACTCCCCCCCAGAAGAAAGGAAGGACAGACCCGATCACGTTCGGGCCAGCTGATTTACCCAACTCTCCAAGCCCACATAGGGATGAACTGGTGGTAAGCATGTGTATTGACAATGCTTTGATCCGCCGAGTACTGGTCGATACCGGGAGCAGTGTGAATGTATTGTATCTACAATCGTTCGAGAAAATG